AGTTAAATATTTATAAAATATTCAATCTTTATAGCTAAGAATTGAAAATGTAACAAGGTTAACCATAAGTATTCTATACTGTAACCAAAAAATGTCAATATATTTATATAAACAGTTTTCTTTCTATAGACATTTGAAGTTTAAATTTGGATAAAAAATTAAACAAAGAATATTAATCTTAGTTGTTTTATTATAATTTTAACATATTATTCAATAGTGCTTAAAAATTTCAAAATGTACCATTACATTTTTTTACACACAATTACATTGTAAAATGCAAAATGTTTGGAAAAAGTAATTCAACCTACTGACCTATTGCAGTGGTTACTAGTGTAGTAGTGTTGTACTACTGCCTATTAGTAAATAAAATTGTTTTAATCACAATACTATCATACAATACTTAGTGATATTATAAACAGTCAATGGTTAACAAACACTAGCCTCCTAAAACCTTCCTTCCTGGATTACGCCTCTGTAAGTGTTTATATAATACTCCTCACTTCACAGGCCGATGGCAACAATTTATTGTAGGTATCTAATAATACACTCATACATTTATACGTTTTGTGTCTGACGTTGGGTCGTGGTGGCTTTTCGTATTATATTTTCATAATCTATACATTATTATTATTTATATTACTATTAATATTGGAAAAACGAGTTCTATCTGCAATTTTCCAACAATTATGTTAAAACTCATAAAAGTAAAATATTATGACGGCTAGAATGCTAGATAGGTACACATTCGAACCTATCATTATAATATAATAATATTATGAAGGTCCTGTTCGGACCATAACTCATTTGATAGACAGTGTCCGACGCACTAATGGCCAGTTATATCGATTTTAATAATAATTTAAGGGTGACCTAGTTTGGCGCAGTCATACGCTCAACTGCGGTAACGCTCCGAGTGTACATATTGGCCGGCGTTGCTAACTCCCGGATGGGTGACCACCCGGGTTTTTAGCAACAAATCCTTGCTACACACACATTACGTGTTTCAAACCCACCGTTTCCCCCGGAGCTCCTACGTCCTACAAGGCTACAAACAGCTAATAGCCATAGTTACCGGGCTAATTATCAATAAAAAAAAATTAATAATAATTCATGATTCTTTTTGCCTAAGTGCAATTCTGTAATACCGTGAACTAATATGACTATAGTCTATAATTCATATCTAAGAAATTTCATAGTTCTGGCGGTAATATGTACACTAATGTAGTAATGTGAATGTCTAATACCRTAGAACATACCGCTAATACCGCGGTGGCGGCAGTGTAGTATCACGATATCACAATATTTCCGATATAAATGATAATAAATATTATGATTCTTTTTAGCAGCTGATAGACGACGGCGGTGACCCAATCGTCCAATCGTCGTACTAAATTATATCAGACGATGACAAGCAAAAAATATTTACTGCGTCATTTCATCTTTCGTAAACCACAAACTGTGCATGCGCGATAGTGAGGCCTCATTTTACTTTCATCTCTTTTCACTGTACAACGATCGACCATTGACGCTAGTGCAGGCAATAATGATAATGATAAATGATAATAACAATACTGTAACAGAACGCGCCATAATACCAAAYCGACTGTTATAGTGTTGTGTTTACTTCATTCGTCGCGTCTCTCTCGAGTGTTGCTCAATAGCGAGTCCCATTTTTTGTTTAATTTTTTCCTTGCGCCTTTCAACTTTTGTGAGCTCGCACTAGTTGCGTACGCTTTTGAGTTATGGAAGTCGATAAATTACCAGCATCGGAAGATATGGAATCCAACGAAGACATTCGTTTTATTTTCGGCCTACTGGACAATATAAATAAGCTCATTGATGTGAAATTACCGTCTGGTACATATAATATTATTATTATTATTATTATTATTATTATTATTATTATTATTACTATGATTATTATTATTATTATTATTATTATTATTATTATTATGTCTATACTTGGTAGTTAAGTACATGAGGTAAAGTCTTTGAGCGATGCCGACATTAATCTAACCCCCTTTTATTGCCGTTGACCATCTCTGTTTTAACATGAATGCACGCATGATCAGTAGGTACGAAAACCAACAAACTGTTTTTGAAATGAATTCCGTTCGCATTATATCCATCGATAACACATTATTAATCTCATTATTCCGGCTGTCATATAGTATGCGKTCTACCGGTGAATTTACGAGTATAGTATGCGGTCTACCGGCGATTTACGAGTATWGTATGCGGTCTACCTAGTCKTCACTACTAATTATTGAATAAAAATCTTTTGCCAACATATTGGGTGTATAAAATATAATATGGTGTCGCGCAATAAATGACATACTGAGCTATTGAGCCAATACTTTTACAAAATATTGAAGTATTGTTATCTGTGTATAATGTAATTAAGATAAAGTATATCTAAAAGATAGAAAAAGATTAAAGTGTATCTATTAAAAATAAAACCGGTAAAAACCGCAGGTAGACCGCATCCTACAGYGGCTGGTAGAACGCATTTGCCGGTAGACCGCATACTATATGACAGCCATTATTCCTTAGAGTCAATTTCAGAAATAGAATCRACTGCCATCAGCCCATAAATTATCCATTCCTTTTGGACTTAGATTACATATTAAATAATATATGTTAACAATAGTTAATAAAATATGTACTGGTATTTTTTCTAGCAGTAAAGTAGGTACCTATATCATTTTTTAGCTCTGTGCATAAATATAATATATGTAACATGACAATCGCTTAATCTTAAGGAGTTGTTAACTAGCTTTGTCACTTATAATCATACACACTGAACATTATTAATCTAGTATGAGAATGTATGCTAATAAACGCACTGCAGAGCTAGAGCTCGGTGCCTAACAATAATTGTTTAAAAAATATTTATTAAGTTAGCAACTGATACACATCTATCAGTAATAATGTCATTTATTTTTTAAGTATATTATTTTAAACACAATGTRGAAAGTTCAGTGTCTTTACACTATTACTTTCCTCTTGTACTTATAATTTTGTACTTTAATAAAATGTACAAGACATTGTAATAAATAGAAAATTTAACATGAAATATAAAAAAGGCATTTATAGAGGACAAAGGTTCAATTTCATTCTAATAAGATACATTTAGTCTATATACCTAAAGATTTTATTTCTATTGCTTTTAAACAAAAAACAATAACATTGTTTTTAAACCTTAACTATAATTATCATATTATTGGGTATATTTTAATTATGAAATATTCTGATTCCAAAATTTGATTTTGAAATGATACTTATCTATGATAATGTATATAAACAGGGGCGGCTCTAGCTTTTTAAGCGCCCAGCGCAAGTATTATTTCGGCGCCTTTCACACTCTTTTTAAACATATCAACAGGCCATCACCCGCGCGGCCTTATGATTTAGGTACCCCTGTGCTTCTGCACTCATTGACCGTATCTAAAGCTGTCTCTGGAAGTAAAGGTCATACAAAATAATTAAATGAGGATTTATAATCTGTTTAAACTTGAATCACATTTTTTGCTCTATACAAATATGATTTACATTATTTATCAATTTATGATTATTAATTGATTAATAAGGTCTACACACTATCATTACATTTTAAACTGGTACTGTAACCCATGACCTAATCTGTGTTCATACTAGCTCTAGTATTGTGTGATTATATAGTTTATGGTATCAAAGTTTCAGTCATTGTAGGTAATATTAAAAAATATAATACTAATTATTAATTATAAATAAAAAGTACCTAATACCTAGTATATAATATTATTACACATCAAAATATTTAAGAATAATTGATACATATATATATATTTCAATTTCATATGTGTTGTGTGTATATTATTATAAACATACTATACTTTATTATAAACAAATGTATTTAGTTGAGAATCATAAAATTAAGACAATGGATCTGTTTTATGATAAACGACAACTGACAATATATTAATGTATATAATTCATTAGCACACATGCAGTTAGCTATTCAAGTATCAAGACTAGCCCATTGTAAACATTCATGAAGTTAATTACGCAGCTTTATTTTATTTTGTATATTATGTGTATTATTAAAATAATGCTTATTTATCATAAACACAAAATGCATAATACAGGGTGTCCCGTGA